ATTGCTTCACCACTCTCTTAACCTCTCTCTTTTTCTCTATATACTCTTCCCTCCTTGCATCACTTCTACTTTGTAAAAACTTCTCATATGCTAACTTTTTCTCCCTTACTACTCTCTTTACATCATCATTCCACCAATCGCTCCTCTTCCCTCCCGCACCCACTTTCCTGTAACGACAAACTTCTGCTGAACACTCTAACACTACATTTTTAAACCTACCCCATACCTCTTCGACCCCATTGCCTATGCTCTCATTAGCCCATCCATCCTCCAATAGCTGTTTATATCTTACCCTAACTGCCTCCTCTTTTAGTTTATAAACCTTCACCTCTCTCTTCCCTGATGCTTCTATTCTCCTTGTATCCCATCTACCCTTTACTCTCAGTGTAGCTACAACTAGAAAGTGATCTGATATATCTGTGGCCCCTCTATAAAACATGTACATCCTGAAGTCTACTCAACAGTCTTTTATCTACCAATACATAATCCAACAAACTACTGTCATTTTGCCCTGCATCATATCTTGTATACTTATTTATCCTCTTTTTCTTAAAATATGTATTACCTATAACTAAACCCCTTTCTATACAAAGTTCAATCAAAGGGCTCCCATTATCATTTACGCCTGGCACCCCAAACTTACCTACCACACCCTCTCTAAAAGTTTCTCCTACTTTAGCATTCATGTCCCCTACCACAATTACTCTCTCACTTGGTTCAAAGGCTCCTATACATTCACTTAACATCTCCCAAAATCTCTCTCTCCTCTGCATTCCTCTCTTCTCCAGGTGCATACACTCTTATTATGACCTACTTTTCGCATCCAGCCTTTACTTTAATCCACATAATTCTTGAATTGACACATTCATATTCTCTTTTTTCCTTCTATAACTGATCCTTCAACATTACTGCTACCCCTTTGCTCTAACTCTCTCAGATACTCCAGATTTAATCCCATTTATTTCCCCCACCGAAACTCCCCTACCCCCTTCAGCTTTGTTTCGCTTAGGGCCAGGACATCCAACTTCTTTTCATCATAACATCAGCAATCGTCTGTTTCTTGTCATCCGCACTACATCCACGCACATTCAAGCATCCCAGTTTTATAAAGTTTTTCTTCTTCTCTTTTTTAGTAAATGTCTACAGGAGAAGGGGTTACTAGCCCATTGCTCCTGGCATTTTAGTCGCCTCATACGACATGCATGGCTTACGAAGGAAAGATTCTTTTCCACTTTCCCATGACAATAGAAGAAATAAAGAAGAACAAGAGCTATTTAGAAAAAGGAGAAAAACCTAGAATAAGATATGGCAGGAAAAGAGGGACTATAAAAGTATTAATTCAAGGATTATGTGGAGTAAAATAAAGGTTGGATGTGAAAAGTGGGTTAGAGTAAGCGTATATGCACCTGGAGAAGAGAGAAATGTAGAGGAGAGAGAGAGATTTTGCGAAATGTTGAGTGAATGTGTGGGGAGTTTTGGACCAAGTGTGAAAGTACTTGTGGTTGGGGATTTCAGTGCTAAAGTGGGTAAAAATGTTGTGGAGGGAGTAGTAGGTAAATTTGAGGTGCCAGGGGTAAATGTAAATGCCAAGCCTTTAATTGAGCTATGTGTAGAAAGAGATTTGATAATAAGTAATACATATTTTATGAAAAAGAGGATAAATATACAAGGTATGACGTAGCATGTAATGAAAGTAGTTTGTTAGATTATGTATTGGTGGATAAAAGGTTGATGGGTAGGCTTCTGGATGTACATTTTTTAGAGGGGAAACTGATATATCAGATCATTATTTAGTTGTAGCTACAGTTAGAGTAAGAGGTAGATAGGAAAAGAGGAAGGTGGCAACAACAAGTAGGAGGGAAGTGAAAGTGTATAAACTAAGGGAGGAGGAAGTTCGGGTGAGATATAAGCGACTGTTGGCAGAAAGGTGGGCTAGTGCAAAGATGAGTAGTGGGGGGGTTGAAGAGGGTTGGAATAGTTTTAAAAATGCAGTATTAGAATGTGGGGCAGAAGTTTGTGGTTATAGGAGGGTGGGGGCAGGAGGAGGAAAGAGGAGTGATTGATGGAATAATGAAGTAAAGGGTGTGATAAAAGAGGAAAAAGTTAGCTTATGAGAGGTTTTTACAAAGCAGAAGTGTCATAAGAAGAGCAGAATACATATGGAGAGTAAAAGAAAGGTGAAGAGAGTGGTGAGAGAGTGCAAAAGGAGCAGATGATAGAGTGGAAGAGGCACTGTCAAGAAATTTTAATGAAAATAAGAAAAAATTTTGGAGTGAGTTAAACAAGTTAAGAAAGCCTAGGGAAAGTATGGATTTGTCAGTTAAAAACAGAGTAGGGGAGTTAGTAGATGGGAAGATGGAGGTACTAGGTAGATGGCGAGAATATTTTGAGGAACTTTTAAATGTTGAGGAAGAAAGGGAGGCGGTAATCTCATGCACTGGCCAGGGAGGTATACCATCATTTAGGAGTGAAGAAGAGCAGAATGTAAGTGTGGGGGAGGTACGTGAGGCATTACATAGAATGAAAGGGGGTAAAACAGCTGGAACTGATGGGATCATGACAGAAATGTTAAAAGCAGGGGGGGATATAGTGTTGGAGTAGTTGGTACTTTTGTTTAATAAATGTATGAAAGAGGGGAAGGTACCTAGAGATTGGCGGAGAGCATGTATAGTCCCTTTATATAAAGGGACAGGGGGACAAAAGAGATTGTAAAAATTATAGATGAATAAGTTTACTGAGTATACCAGGAAAAGTTTACGGTAGGGTCATAATTGAAAGAATTAGAGGTAAGACAGAATGTAGGATTGTGGATGAGCAAGGAGGTTTTAGAGTGAGTAGGGAATGTGTAGATCAAGTGTTTACATTGAAGCATATATATGAACAGTATTTAGATAAAGGTAGGGAAGTTTTTATTGCATTTATGGATTTAGAAAAGGCATATGATAGAGTAGATAGGGGAGCAATGTGGCAGATGTTGCAAGTATATGGTGGTAAGTTACTAAATGCTGTAAAGAGTTTTTATGAGGATAGCAAGGCTCAGGTTAGGGTGTGTAGAAGAGAGGGAGACTACTTCCCAGTAAAAGTAGGTCTTAGACAGGGATGTGTAATGTCACCATGGTTGTTTAATATATTTATAGATGGGGTTGTAAAAGAAGTAAATGCTAGGGTGTTTGGGAGAGGGGTGGGATTAAATTATGGGGAATCAAATACAAAATGGGAATTGACACAGTTACTTTTTGCTGATGATACTGTGCTTATGGGAGATTCTAAAGAAAAATTGCAAAGGTTAGTGGATGAGCTTGGGAGTGTGTGTAAAGGTAGAAAGTTGAAAGTGAACAAAGAAAAGAGTAAGGTGATGAGAGTATCAAATGATTTAGATAAGGAAAAATTGGATATCAAATTGGGGAGGAGTATGGAAGAAGTGAATGTTTTCAGATACTTGGGAGTTGACGTGTCAGCAGATGGATTTATGAGGGATGAGGTTAATCATAGAATTGATGAGGGAAAAAAGGTGAGTGGTGCGTTGAGGTATATGTGGAGTCAAAAAACGTTATCTATGGAGGCAAAGAAGGGAATGTATGAAAGTATAGTAGTACCAACTCTCTTATATGGGTGTGAAGCTTGGGTTGTGAATGCAGCAGTGAGGAGGCGGTTGGAGGCAGTGGAGATGTCCTGTCTAAGGGCAATGTGTGGTGTAAATATTATGCAGAAAATTCGGAGTGTGGAAATTAGGAGAAGGTGTGGAGTTAATAAAAGTATTAGTCAGAGGGCTGAAGAAGGGTTGTTGAGGTGGTTTGATCATTTAGAGAGAATGGATCAAAGTAGAATGGCATGGATAGCATTTAAATCTGTAGAAGAAGGAAGGCGGGGTAGGGGCCGTCCTCGAAAAGATTGGAAGGAAGGGGTAAGGGAGGTTTTGTGGGCGAGGGGCTTGGACTTCCAGCAGGCATGCATGAGCGTGTTAGATAGGAGTGAATGGAGACAATTGGTATTTGGGACCTGACGATCTGTTGGAGTGTGAGCAGGGTAATATTTAGTGAAGGGATTCAGGGAAACCAGTTATTTTTATATAGCCAGACTTGAGTCCTGGAATTGGGAAGTACAATGCCTGCATTCTAAAGGAGGGGTTTTGGGATATTAGCAGTTTGGAGTGATATGTTGTGTATCTTTATACGTATATGCTTCCAAACTGTTGTATTCTGAGCACCTCTGCAAAAACAGTGATTATGTGTGAGTGAGGTGAAAGTGTTGAATATTGATGAAAGTATTTTCTTTTTGCGGATTTTCTTTCTTTTTTGGGTCACCCTGCCTCGGTGGGAGATGGCCGACTTGTTGAAAAAAAAAAAAATGGACCATGGCTCCATTCCTGGAGATAAAACATTCTACTCTACTAATACCTCACTTGGAACCATTGTTACAGTGCACACAGGTTTTCATGTTGATAATTATTTTTCAGTGTTGAAGATGTAATGTTTTATAGTTTATTTATAGTTTGTGTCACTAACATCAACTTCTGGTACACTTGACAGATCTCCTAGGTAGGCTAGCTGGTGTAAAAGTTTACTAAAAATGTATTTTGATGTAAATAGTTTATTAGGAAAAGTGCAAGTAGAAGTAGCAAGATGTCTGTTATCTTGCATGCTTATGAGACAGAAAAAAAGCCACCAGCAATCATACCATTGTGTAAAACAATTACAGGTTTCCATTACACACTCATTTGGCAGGACAGTAGTACATGTACCTTTCTGGGTGGTTGCTGTAGAGCAAATTCATTTCTTTTTGTATATGATCATATGATGTATGTGTGGTAGCTCATATTTTGTTGGTAAACATTGATCAAAAATGAAAAGCAAAAAAGTAGGAATTAGACCAGTCTCTAGGTCATCAAGCAGGGTCTACTGTACAATGTTAATTTACATGTGACTCTTATGGGTCTAGCTTTTTGTGTGAAAATGTTGCTGTACTGTACTAATTTTACTTACTTTTTTTTTTATTTTCAGGAATTTCTTATGCCACTGTACTTTATCCTCATATTGGCAATCATACGTATGGCAATTAAAGACAAAAAGTATGACCCCATCACGGAACCTCATGGAAGTGCATTGCTCATGAAGAGTCTACCATATTTATTGCAAGGATATCCTCTCCACATTGCACCAAATACTACAGAGGTATGTAATATTTTTGTCATGTCTGGGTCAAATTGATGGGAATATACATTAATGGCAAGATTATGATGCTAAGGCCCGATTTTTAGTTCAGATATTATCTCTATGTTTAGCTTCAAAGAGCCACTTAACCCTTTGACTATTTGTCATGTAGAACTACCTCTACCTTGTGCCTTTGAAGAGTTTCGAGAGTTTAGCTACTTTCGGAGCTCAGCCATGGGCCAGGCTCATCTGGTGCATGCCTGGTCAACCCGGCTGTTGCTGTTGGAGGCCCACTGCCCCACATATCCATCACAGCCTGGTTGATCTGGCACCTGGTGAAGGTACTTGTCCAGTTTCCTCTTGAAGGCTTCTACACTTGTTCCAGCTGTGTTTCTGATATCTTCTGGTGAGATGTTGAATAGTCTAGGACTCCAGATGTTGATACAGTGTTTCCTTATTGTCCCCGCTGCACCCCTGCTCCTCATTGGGTTTATTCTACACTTCCTCCCATATCTCTTACTCCAGAATGTTATTATGGCAGTGTGCAGATGTGGGATCAGGCCCTCGAGTACTTTCCGGGTATATATTATGATGTATCTCTCTCTCTCCTCTGTTCCAGTGAGTACATGTTCAAGATTTGAAGGCATTCCTAGTAATTTAGGGGCTTTACTGGTTCAATGTGAGCCGTAAACGATTTCTGTATTTGTTCCATTTCTGGTATTTCACCTGCTTTGAACAGGGCTGTCAGCACTGAGCAATATTCTAAATGAGGGAGCACTAGTGATTTGAAGAGTGTCACCATTGGCATTATTTCCCTTGTTTTGAAAGTTCTCAATACCCACCCCGTCATCTTCCTGGCTATCTTGATCTTTGTCTTGTTATGTAAGTCATTGATGTCGAGGTCCATCATATAGAGTTGCGTCATAGGTTCAACTCACTCAAACAAGCTGTGAGTGGCAAATTTTGGCTTAGATGTGAGAGAATGGGTATATGTAGTGAGTGTGCTTAATATTAATAAAATCCTGCCTCATTTGGTGCTTGTTGGGAAAACAAAACTCTGACCTTGTGTTTGGTTTAACCCCTTCACTATCCAAACATGGGTCTACGTTCTTACCTCTAGTGCTCCAAATGTAGATTGTTTTATTTTTCCTGCCTCCAAATTTGGCACGATTGGCCTGAGATTCTGGTCAGTATAGAATGGGTCTTAACCCTTTGACTGTTTCAGGCCCCTCTCTGAAACTGTCATTCTATGTCGCTCAATTTTTGAAAAAAAAAAAATTATTTTTTCTTATGAAATGATAGAGAATCTTTTCCCGATGGTAATGACACCAAAAGTTCGAAATTTGGTCGAAAACTCGTGGAATTATGCTCCCGCGAAGTTAGCGGTCTCGGCGACATATGCGTATCGGCGATTTCGCCGACTTTGAGCCCTATTTTCAGCCAATTCAATTGTTCCAGTTGACCAAACTCATAGCTATTTCTTTAGAACTCCATTTTATCTATCAGCTGAGTACAAGAAACCTCCCATTTACTAATTTGGACTACCCAATATGGTGGTCAGAAATTGGCAATTTGGCCAATTTCACGCAAAATAAAAAAGATGCCAATTTCAAAATAGGGTCCAGAATAAACAAGGTAGACATTCGTGGCACTAAAATAACATATGCTCTGTTCATTAGTCACATCTCTAGGCCCCTCTTATATTACTATTGCTTTCTATTTTGATTTTTTATTCATACAAAAAAAATACAAAATTTACTGTTATGCAGACGACTGCATTATTGTAAAAATGGTATAAATAATATCAGTGCACTAGTGAAAGAATATTAGACTCCCCAGTTGACGTGTATTGGACGTGTGGTGTGATTTATTTACTCTTGAACATTGGTAAAAATCGAACATTTCCGCTACTTTGAGCTCAGTTTCAAGGTCGTTTTCATCGTAAAAGTAATGAAAATCATCTCTATTTCTGTAATATGTTTTCCATTTTATCACCTAAGACCATGAAAATGCGAATACGACGATAAATACTATACGAAAATACACCTCAAAGTCGGCGTTTTATTCCAAAAAAACGATCAGAGTTTTTTTTTTCTCATTACGCAATGTGTGCTGCAGGATTTTTTTTATGTGGTGCACACTGACCACACAGACCCATTCTCTCACATGTGGGCCTACCAGCTTTCTCCCACTTGATTTGAAGCCGCTAGAATTATTGAGTATATATACGTCAGAAACATTGGCTCGTAAGACGTATTTATACGTCGAAAACAGTCAAAGGGTTAACACTCAGTGTGTGCAGTATTAAATAAATCTGGGACCACTTTGTACCTTGTGGGAGCACCAGTTCAATTGAGCACCAGCTAGAGCAAATAGTGTGGCAAATACAAGGGATTCACTGATGTCATGTTGTATTAACACTCCCCTTTTAAGAGGATAATGATGTTGGCCCTGAGTTTAGTGGCTTTGAGATTAATGTGGCCATAAGTGGTCGAGAAAATATCAAAAACCTCGATAATAAACCATGTGCAACATCCTTTTAATTTTGATACCACTGGTAGTGTCATCCTGCCAGAATGTCCTATAATCTATGCCCTAAGTAAAAAGAAACAATTCTGGAACGTATGTAATACACGTTCGGCAGGCCGAGTGGCTGGCTGGCTGGCTGCTGGGCCAGTGGGTGGGTGGCTGGCGGATTGACTTTGGCTGTATCCATCTCTGTTTCTATCTGTCTGTCTGTCTATCTCTGTCTCTGGAAGTAATTTTATTCAGGTATACACAAATACAGTTACATAGATTATGATACATAGCAGTATGTGTATAGAGAACCTAGGATAACCCAAAAAAGCCAGACAAAGTGACTTATTTACATTGGGGTCCTTTTAATACCTTATTATTATACTATGAAAGAGATAATATCTTATTTTTATACTATAAAGGATGTATTCTAGGAATAAGGTAAAAAAAAAGTTATTTACATTTACATGCGTGTTAGCTAAAGAAAATAAAAAATCTTTCTCCTCCCTTTCTGTCGCTACATTCATTAGGTACCTTTTGGCTCTCTTCTTGAACTGGCTCATGCTATGACTGGCTTTAACATGTGCAGGCAATCTGTTCCATTCCTAGAACTGCAGACACATTCATCACCTTCAAAACTACCATTAGAAAACATCTTATCTCCCTGATACACCCCGTCAACTAACTACACGAATACCACCTGGTGGTTCACACTTACACTCACTCACCCATTTGACCATAAACAGAAATATTAATCTCAATCTTAAAATAATGAATCCTATGATACTCCAATACTGAAACTATGTACTGTGCCAAAACAAAAGCATTCACATTGCTAAACTCACAGACTAATATTTAGTCACTTAGCCATAATACCAACTTACCTCATAATTTGTAATATTTTAAAATAAAGAATTAAACTAAGTCTGCCCGAAATGCCTAGCCATGCTAGGCGTTCTAGTGGTACACTCTGTAATCATTATTTAACTACATGTAAACCACACAACAACCAAATTCTGTAAATTTAACATTGTAATCTTTATAGAGAATAAACTTTGAATTTGAATTTGAATTTGAATTTATTGCTGTACAATTAAAGGTGTTTGAAGCCTGGTCCACTGACTGTGCATACTACAAAGTTGTGCTCTCTCCACCTAGTACAATGATTGCTGTGGTTCCCAACCTTGACAGAATTGGCAGCTAGATATTCTGGACACTGTGAGCAATTTTATAAACCTGATTTAACTTCAGTTGTTTTACTCTGTCTTCAACATTCAGCATATCCAGTTGTTGTAATTCATCCTGGCCTACATGTTCTCTTGGACCCAGGTCCAGGATGAATCTTACCATTTTGTTCTATTTATTTCTGTCTCACAGGTACACATAAGTACAGTTATTATTCACAGTGAAAATTACCTAGGATAACCCAAAACAAATCCAGACAAAGTATTATACTGTGCTCATAGATATAAGGCATAATAAGCATGACAGGCAAGTAATACACATTTTCACTCATTCAGGAATCAGACGTGATGTCTCTGCATCATGTGTAATACCTGTCGGTTCATGAGCGGCTCTTTCTCTCTCTGAGACAGAAAGAGAGACAAGCAGAGTGACAGGAAGACAGACAGAAGGACACATAAGCAGAAACAGAGATAAACAGAGACAGGGCTAGATGGACAGACACAGATAGACAAGCAGACAGGCAGACAAACAGATAAACAGACATGTTTATGTGTAACAGTGAAAACAAATAAATAAAAGACAGTGCATGATCATCAACTGTCACTCCACCGCTTCACTGACAGCAGTGGAGTGACACTCTTCTTACACTGTGCTTCAAGGAGTTTCATATATACTCCAGCATGTCTAAAACATTGCTGGGACCTATAAATACTTTGTATAATTTCTAGACAATAGTATGTGACCAAAGCAGGTGAAAATGTTCACCTCTCAGTTTGTTTGTGACTATTTGAGTACTATTTCAGTACCTAATATTAGTGTCAGAACAAACATTGAAATCAATGAAATCACAAGAACTACTACAAATTGTGTATATCAGAAACATTAAAGTGAACAGTATTTAGAGAAGGCTAAAGAGGTTTTTGTGGCATTCATGGATTTGGAAAAGGTGTATGACAGGGTGGATAGGGGGGTAATGTGGCAGATGTTGCAGGTGTATGGTGTAGGAGGTAGGTTACTGAAAGCAGTGAAGAGTTTTTACGAGGATAGTGAGGCTCAAGTTGAGTATGTAGGAAAGAGGGAGATTATTTCCCAGTAAAAGTAGGCCTTAGACAAGGATGTGTGATGTCACCGTGGTTGTTTTAATATATTTATAGATGGGGTTGTAAAAGTAAATGCGAGGGTCTTGGCAAGAGGCGTGGAGTTAAAAGATAAAGAATCACACATAAAGTGGGAGTTGTCACAGTTTCTCTTTGCTGATGACACTGTGCTCTTGGGAGATTCTGAAGAGAAGTTACAGAGGTTGGTGGATGAATTTGGTAGGGTATGTAAAAGAAGAAGAGAAGAAAAACTTTATAAAACTGGGATGCTTGAAT